AGGCATGCCGTGAGACGACTTTTTTCTGTGACATTTCTGTGACGAACCGGATGAGACGAGAACAAACCGCGTGACCACCAACCGCACCCATGAGCGCCGGACACGTGAGCTTGGAACCAGGAGGTGTGTCGGCAACATGGCTTCCAGAACTGCTTTAGCAGACTTTTTGCTTGAACTCAGCGCGGCCACGCTTGCGGCCCAGTCGAGGAAAGATTGTAAGCTTCGGGGAGTTCAAAGGTGGGATGACGTAAGGTGGAAGGTAGAGGGAACATGCTCAACAGGTGTACGCAATAGAGACCCTTTACCCCTACCCCACCTACACACGCCCTTGGAGCCCTTTGATAGACAAAGTTCCAAGCCACCATCATCATCATCATCATCATCATCATCATCGTATCTGTGATGGTTGAAAGCCGGCCTGAGTAACCATAAACGTAACTGTTGCACCAGTGGCAGGCTCTGTTGTCGCTGTGTTTGGCACGCTTGGAAGCCAAGCCCTCGCCGGAGCTCGAAAAGGACCAGGGGGAGCTTTCAGGTGTGTTTTCGGTTTAGATGCATCTTTTTATTGGCTTCAGTTTACGCTTTTCGTTCTACGAGTCTTGACATCCTGACCAGCAAACCAATATGGATTTCCCTTTTCCCCCATTCTGCATGAGAGACAAAACCCACTAAACCCGAGGGTCCAAGGTCTATGGCTTAGGGTTTAGCGCATGTACCCAGGCAGACAAAGCACGGATGCTTGATTGGAGAAGAGGCAGCACTGGAAAGCTGGATCCCAACCTTCAGCTCTAAGCATCAAGCAAATATAACATAGGAGCTCCCCGGATTTCTTGAGATGAGCGCCCGTCACCAAAGCACCCTGATAGCAAACTAGACAGAAAACCCGAACCCCCGAATACCCCAAGCCTGCTCTCTTCCTTCAACGCCACTGCCGGCCCATCTAGGACCTGGTCGTGGCCCTGAGCATCTTTGTTTACCTGCGTGAAGAACCTGTGGTGCTTCGACAGGCTTCTTACAAGGGCCTAGGTCACAGCCGGGTTTGGGGTGTTTGGACTCAGGATTTGAAGGCTGTCAACTTGGACTTCGCATCTTCGCGTGAGCGATCCGAGAATTGGGCGTTTAAGGTTCGCAAGACAAGTTGTCCCTTAACGGCTGAGGGTTTAGCAAAACGGCGGCAAACTCATCTGTCAGCTTGTGCTGGCACCGGACAAGGTTGGACAACCCACAGTTTCGTTTTTGGAGATCGCATCAGAAGTTGAGAGCTTCAAGTCGTCCTGCATTGAAGTTGGCTGACGAGGTGGTTTACCAGGCCAAGAGGCTGATTTAGTATCTATATAACGCCGGTGCATCGGAGCTGATTTCGGGGCTTTGTGTCCGCTCGATGTGCAAGGCCGGACGATGCCGCAATTGCGTTTCACATGCGGTCCCATCTGCATCATAAGTCAGAAGCAACCTCCGACAGAGCTAAGCAGCTGCCGTTGGTTGGCCTTTGGAGATCTTGCACCAGCTTGCGATCAAACTCCCCAATGCCGCAACATCCTGCACGTTAGCACCCAAGCCTGCAAGGCAAATCTCCCTGAGTTCCATGTTCATTTTGCGAGGTTGCACAGGCACTCTCATCTCACATCCTGCCAGGCCATGGAGTCCTTGCAGCCTGGTCTTTTTGAGCAGTTCCTCATGAAGGTACGGATTGTGCTGTGTGTCCCAGCAAAAGATGCTGACCTCCCTGGACATCCAAAGGAACAGAGCCGTGTTGGCCATTTTACCAGGCCTCAGCTTTTCTGACCAGACACAGCAGAGTCCGACACAACATGCAGTTTTCGTATTCATACTGATACGGATCGCACGATTGTGTTGTAAAGGTCTATATGCAAGATTTCATGGAGCGCACACCGGCATGGCAAGGGCGCCGTGTGAATTGCCCATGAAAAACTATGGTGACTATGGTTCCCTAAGTTCAACTGGCAAAAAGAGCAAAACCAAGTTGGACATTGAAGCTCTCAATCCAAAGCACTACGTGTATGGGCTCCCTACATGATTTTCGAGTGAGCTGCTTCAGACGCTCGGCTCCGAAGTATCGGCAGGTATGGCTCCCAGGGACCGGCCGCGTTCTTACTTTGCAGCGGCGGAAGCTCCTTGGCGAGACTCCCTCCACATGGAACCGAGAGCCCAGAGCTTGGGAGTCGGGAGCTTGGGAGTCGGGAGCTGCATTGGTCGAAGTGTTTTTGAAGTCACTTGTTGCACGTGAAAGTGGGCTTCCAGTTAGAGGCTGCCGACGTCACCAACTGTTCGGCAGTTAGCAGGCGAGGAAAGGCGGCAAAGTGCGACTGCCATCGGGGCAAAGAAAACCTAGTTGCAGGGCCACCAATCAAGCCTGTGGTCCCCCCTGAAAGTCCCCGTACCCGCGACACACCGACACACACGCACACACGCACGCACGCACGCACGCACACACACACACGCACACACGCACGCACACGCACACGCACACACACACACGCA